ATACATTTCATTCTCTTTATATTAACATTCGGATTATCCGCATATCCGGATAGTTGGAATATTTACGTTATTCCACTATCCCAATTATCCGAAGAATTGAAATATCCGGATTTGAGTTGTCGGATAATTAGATATATTAGATATCCGGATATCCGAAAATCCGGAACATATTTGTAGTTCTACTTAAGGCTCTTGGGGAGTCGCATCATCTGTCTCTTTTTCATGACGTCAGAAGTGAGCAAAATCAATAGATAATCGAACAATTAATATGACAAGATAATGAGGAAATTAGGTTGGAAAAGACGATTGCACGTCACATTTATTTTATAATTATCTGTTGATTGTTAGAACAAAAGGAAAGCGTACGGAGTATTTTAGAGGTATACTTAATCGATCACAAATGTCGTTTTGTGGATATATTGTTTTATTTGAACACTTTGCAACGTAAATTTAGCATGCATTTCTCGCTTCTGACGTCATTAAGAAGAGAGATGATGCGACTCCCCAAGAACCGTAAATGAAATAGATTTTCATAGAATTGGTGCGTACTAATCGTCAATTAAACACGATAATTAATGTCAAACCTAATTAATTAGTTGTTAGTAATTAACTGATAAGTACTACTAAGTATTACTAACAAAATAATAAAGAAATTATTTACTGACAAAGACTGCATTTCCTTCGGCATTTATACGTTGAAAACGTCCTTTCATTTTTGCTGTATGTGTAATAAACGATAAAAATTAAATGACGCATCAGAGTGCGTGAGCACCGTAAGCGAACGCGGCCAGTATCGCCGCTGGCTCATTAGTACTCGTAGCACGGAATAGAACCTTAATGTATATACTGTATAGTAACTCATAGCACGGAACAGAACCAAAATGTGTTTACCAGCGGTAAACGTGCTGCACAAGATTCTCATTCCTACCGCTAACTACTATGACTCTACCGTCAACACGGACTTCTTCATTCACTCCCCAGGGGTACTATTCCGTACACGTTTACCGACAACTGTCAGATCGGTAGACGTCGATGCGCAGCTTTTTACCATAGAATTTTTTTATACCATAGAAAAGCTGCGCAACGACGTCTACCGATCCGACAATTGTCGGTAAGCGTGTACGGAATAGTACCCCTGTAGTGCAATTCTATAATTCGTTATTGCAGTTAACGACAGTCTCATTATCGTTGCGCAGCTTTTTTACAGTACGAAAAAGCTGCGCAATGATAACGAAACTATCGTTAACTGCAATAACGAGTTACAGAATCGTACTACTGGAGCCTTACCCTAACAGCACATGATATCCTGCGTATCATCCCATTTTCGTACGCATTATACTGTGATCATCTGTAACGTACTGAGATCATCGCTAGGACATCACTTGCAGTATCATTCGGTTTTCTTTCGCGCGCATATATTCTCAGGTTTTACTCAGATGATACGTACGCAATTCTATCGCGCGCGTATATTCTTAGGTTTGACGCCGGATACGAAAACGGTACGTACATCAATGCCATGTGCGACCTAACCTGTTTGTTCCGGCTTGGATCGGCGATCGGCGTGCTTGGAAATTTCTAAGACTGATATCGAAGGTAATCCTTTTTCTCTTTACATTTTATATGACTAAATAGTTAATCAAAGTTTTGCAGACAAAAGTTTTGTACAATTTATGTAATATTTTTTATTATTATTTTACATATAACTTGTAAAACACTTCTTGGGATAGTTTGAGGTTATCTGAGCGAAAGAAATATAATATAATATTTATGATATTACAATAGAAATTAATATTTCATACATTATTTAAAAAATTTTTTAAACAATATATCTTAACCCTTAAACCGTAAACCTAGGTATTTTGTGTCAGAGCAACATCTACTTATTCGGAAATGAGGTAGGGAATAAAGGTCGGATATTATTTAAACAAATACATTTGTCTCCCATTTCTCTACGTTGTTGTAAAGTTCAAGGTTGAAAGGTATTGCCCGAATTTTTTTAGATTTTTTCTATGATTTTAACATTGAAATAACGCGTCGGACTTGAAATACTCAGGTTACGGTCAATTCGGGTAAAAAACACCTATTATAGTTTAAGAGTTAAAATGATGGTTATATATAAAACTGTTTTCTGCCCGTAGGTCTTCTCGCAGCCTTTGGATTTCTGATTCCAAGTCAGAATCGCAGTACTACGCCCGTCTTCAGAATAAAACACACGTTGTTCACATTGAAGAGAGCATCGTCGGAGCTGACAGAAGAGCATCAGAAGATCATACTGATTGATAGATATATGGAACAGCTGATGCAAGAATATTTAGGTATACCGTTTGCTTATTTCTGTCATTCTGTTCTCCGTTTCTGTTGTGTACACCCATGGACAATGATTCTTTCCATTGGAAGTGTTCACAAATTGAGAAGTCACCACCTTTCTACATTAATGCTCACAGTCCATGGACGATTAAACGACAGTGATCACTGAAATATAGGTATACTGGAATAGGCACAGCCATCTAAAACCAATAAGCGGAAAGTGTGGTAGAGACAGATAGATTTGGTGGACTTGTTAGCTCTTTCTAATGAATGGACATTAGCAGTCGACCAAGAGAGGGTGACAAGGATAGGTGGTCCACCAAGTATTAATCTATTTCTACCACATTTCCAAGCACTCAGTATTTATTCCAGTATATATATATTTCAGTGACAGTGATTCGATTAATCGTGCATTGGCTGTGTGCATTAATGTAGAAAGATAGTGACTTCTCGATTTCTGAACACTTCCAATGGAAATAATCATTGTCCGTGGGTGTACATTGAAAAAAAAGGCTTTTGATTTGATTTTTTCAATATAATTTAATATTTTGAATGATTTAATTTTTTCATTTTAATGTTTATGTTAAATATATAAATAACAAAAATTAAAATCCAAAATTACCATATTAATACAAAGAGAAATATAAAAAAATGTTTTTTAAAGAGCAGTTTATAAATTTTTGTCAATCTAAGATTATTTTCATGATAAAATATCCCAGATAGCATGATGATTTCTTTAAATATTCCTAAAGCTTTTTCCTTTCCTGAATTGTACTTCTTTAGGAACGCGTGGAAGAATTTTAAAAGTTTCCAAATGCTCGAAAGTAAAAATGTCTTATGACAAATGTTTGCTATTGTATATTAACGTCACTACATAACGGTATGCTAGTAAACAAATGATTCCATTGATAATTAGTAGAATTTGTGACTTGAAAACGAAAGTATTATATATTAGCCATTATATTTAAGGAGGTTCTAGTATTTAATAAAATATAAGACAAATCGATAATACAAATATATAATACAAAAGTTCATTAAGTCAACAATATCTTAACAAAATTACTTTTTCAAAAAAAGTAAAAAAAAAGAAGCCAAGTGCACGCGCGTTAGCATTACATTATTTACAAAAAAATTGTTATACATAAACTTTACAAAAAAATCATTCTAAATAAGTTACAACAAAAGCTCAGCTAAAAGATATTTAAAAAATATTATTAAAACAATCTTATTCAGATCTATTGTATTTTCGTGAATACTTTATTGAAAAATACAAAACAATTTTATACTCTCTACAAAAGTAATGATATCAAGGGGTTTACACCAAGTGCAAACGATTAATCTCATTTCAGTTTTTACTTTTATAAACATATGTGGTTTTGGCTATACAATATATTTATAAATTAAATAAATTATTAATATATTAGTAATATATTATTAAATAAAGAATAAAATAATTAGAGAAGTACAATAATGTCAAAAAAATTATAATTGTGTAATAACTTACACAAATTGGTACATGTAGTTGCGATCCACACATGCAAAATGTACCTTTATATAAGGCTACTCTTACGAGTAAAAAAAAATTATAATACAAAAATTAAGAAAATAAAAATGAAAAAACAAAATAAAAATTATAACTTACACAAAAAACCACTTGGCGTGCCTTTTTATAGGCAAACGATTTTTTTTATTGACATAACTGCTGTATAGGTGTCATTAAATAAGA